GCGTCCATGGTGATGAACTGACCCCACTGATGCCTCATGGGAGACCAGGTTGCTGTCTCTGATTGCGCTTGTTTTTACTGAATCATAACAAATTGAAACGAAAGCTCACTGTATTGAGATATGTATCGTATCAGCCAACTTCTTAATGATACCCAGCCTTAGTGTGCATTGCGTAACCAACATCCTGCCATAGAAATACACGTAGAACACCCCACTGTGGTGTCATTGCAAAGTATCAATATGTCTGTACTTGGGCGAGACAAATTTTAAATAATTGGGGGAACTTAATTTATTTTCACATTTGGGTTAGAGTTAGCCCCAGAGCGTTTGTCCACTGATCCAAAAGTTGACGGTTCGAATCCCGCTCTCTACATAAAAAAAAAAAAAAAAAGAACAAAAACAACAGGTTGGTTGAGCGGTCAAATCCCTTTACTCACATGTTGGCGATAAGATTCTAGCTCCCCCAGATGAATGCTGTCGTTGTGTCCTTGGGCAAGACACTTAACCCACCTCGCCCCTACTGTCTGTCTACACTGGTGTATGATTGTGTACGTGAATGTGTGAGAGGTTCCTTGTCTTGAAGCGTTTTGAGAGTCTTGAAGGTGGAAAAGCGCTGTATAAAAATGTGAACATTTACCATTTACTGTCATTTGGTTTGCCTTTTGACTTAACTTTGCAAAGACCTACAGTTTGAAACCATAAACTTTTCTCCACGATTTCCAATGGGAGCGATGTGTGTGAATTCCTTGTACTACGTGACATCACATATAACTGTAATCAAAATCGTCCAGCTGTAATCAGGGCAAACACCGAACTGTCAGAGCAATCACACTGTTCCTCATATGTCCAGAACTAACGACTAAAGATAGAGCCTATACTGATTGCGTGTGAATAATTACTCTGGGTCCCTGGTCCTTCTCGGCGCTCTCGTGACGCTCCGTGCCCCCCTCTCGTGTGCCCTTGCTGGGGGACGATGGCGGCTTATTCCCCCTTGACTTTGCCTCTGGAGGAGCTGAGGAGCAGAGGAGGAGAGTCTCCAGCGGGTCCTCCTCACAAGGGTCAGAGCGGCCAGAATACTGATCACACCGTCCCCCCTGCGCCCGAGTGTGTCCTTGGAAAAGAGAGAGGGAGACATTTTTTTTACCGTCCCCAAACATCTCGGCTATTTTCGAGTTTGTTTTCTTTCTCAAACAGGCGAAAACTAAAACACGAAGTGCTCTTGTATGCCAAGTAAGTAAGTTCAGACATTTCAGACAAGACTTCGTTATACTTTCAGTGCGCAGATACTCTTATCTTTCCATTAACGCCGTCTTGTGAAAAGCTTTTCCTCGTATCTCATTATGAGTTTTGAACTAGTTTATAGTTTGGTTCAGATAAGAATTTTCCTATGATTGTGGTGTGTGTGAGGCAGATAACGCAGATGGGCAGCATCTCTCTGTGAGTCTGTCCCAGGGCAGGTGTGACTACAATAGTATTTTACCACCAAGTATGGAGAGAATGAGTGATACCGTGACTTTGAGTATCTGTAAAAGTATTTTGTACGACTAATGCATGTACTAATGCATGTAATATTTGGTAATACTATAATAACTACACTATGAATAATCCTAATAAAGCCTGGAGAAAGACTTCATTTATAAGGAACAAAGAAGGAAAAGCAGACCTATTATGCAAAATTGACTTTTAACTAGGGGTGTAACGAGATCCAAGTCTCATGATACGATATCGTCACGGTATGAACCTCATGGTGAGATATTTATTACGATATCATGGGAAAGCTCACGATATGGTTGGGTGGCTCACGATTTTACGATATTATACATAATAACAAGACTGACATTATAAAATACTTTGACTAGTTATTTGGTACAACATTTATTGTCATATTCTAGTACAACATTCACAGTACAATATTATCACGATATGCATCTCACGGTACGATATTTATTGTGATATTTTGAAGAGGTTAATAATTAAAGATTTTTTTGCTTTTAAAATACCTTGACAAGATTTTGATGTGAATTATTTCCTTCAAAATCTCAAGAATTCAAGTCAAAAACATATTTATTCATGTAGTCTGCACTGAAATGAATCATGGGATATGTAGTTCTCTATATTTATAAGCTGTTGTTACTATAAAACCATGTATTTAAGCAAAGAAACTTGTAATTTGATATATTGTGACAGCCCACAATATTATTGTGAGACTTTTAACGATACGATATCACAATATTTTGGTTATTGTTACGTGCCTACTTTTAACCATGTAATAGTGGTTTCCCCTCATTTACCCTCATGTTGTTCTGGAGTCATCTAATCTTTAATCACTTATTTTCAAGATGCCATGGATAACGGGGATCAATCCTCGTTATCACCTCCACCAGTACACGCCCACTGCTCTGTTCGTACTTCATACTCATTTTATTTACTTAATTCATGATACACATTGGATTCACCAGCGTTGCGTAGTCTGTTTGGTACAAAAAAAAAAAAAAAGTCCACTACTTGCTATCCATCGGAGACACGACTCTTTGTTGTCATGTCATTTCCTGTGACGTCAGATCCTGTTGGGCACTGCAGGTTTCTAACGTGGAAATCATCAGACTTGTTTCTTGTATTAAGTAATTTTAGATGAATACTGCAATTTAAAATATGCCACTTATAACATAATGCATAATAGCGGACACCAGGCAGTACAATAGGCCTGCTTTAAAACCCCACCATGTACCCACCCACCTTTTAGCCTTCTAAACTAAAAGTTACTTTTTTGGGGTTGCTTTTTTTACACTGGAAAACAGGCCTGGCTTACATATCCATAAACCTTCTTACTCTTATTTGGCAAGGCATTGTCAATGAAATGTTGTTCCTTTGGCTGTAACATTCTCAACTCAACTCAACTTTATTTCTAGAGCAATTTAGAAACAACACAGTCGACCAAAATGCTGTACACAAACACAAACAGATAACAAACAGTGACAAATACAGTGACAGGTACAGATAAAATATAATACAATACAAATACAGGTAAAAATCAACCTTCAAACTGTGTTAAAAGCCAAGGAAAAAAGTGAGTTTTTAGGAGGGACTTAAAAACAGGCAGTGAGTCGCTCAACCTGATGTGCAAAGGGAGCCGATTCTGCATATTCCACAGTGTCGCATAAAACGTATCTGCATGAAGAATGTTCCAAAGTGCGGTTTAAACTTTTTATTTCCATAGACTCCTGCAGGTCACATCCCGCCTCCACAAAGTTACTGTTTCTTCAGTGATGATTCTCGCTAACAAAGAGATCCTAGAGAATACACATTGAGCATCAAGTAGAAGTATTTTTACACGTTCATTTATGTCATGCAAATGTTTACATTTTTATTCCAGTTCCGTGTCTATTTAAACCACTGGCACACCGCTGGGGCCTGCATCTCAATCAGCATTCTGCACCGCGCACGGCCCTGATAAGCCCCGTTATTTACTCTATTTAGAAAAAAAAAGACAGAAAAAAAAAACACCGTCCTTCAGGCTAAATCCAGATATGAACATTTGCGAGCGCGATTAGCCTGTCCGCACTATCTCTGTCCACATGATTATGGCAGTAATTACAAAAGTAGGATAACGTTGTGTTTACCAGGCGTGTGGCGTTTGTATGTGATTTTCCCCGTGCATAATTCATCCTAATCTCCATAGTGATAGTGCAGATTGCAGGTTCAAATCCACAGGGGACCATGCAAATGTCGGTTGTGTTATAATGCCGGTGAATATTCATGTAACTATATCGAAATCTCATATGGTGTTATCTTTAGATTAAGCTCTCCGAATGTTATTTATTGATTGCTAATTAAGAAATGCTTTAAAGCTCCTATATTATGCAAAATTTACTGTTGTGAGTTTTAAGTGAGCTCACAAACCGACCTGGAGTAACCTTTTATTATGAGCTTTGTACATGACTCGTTTGGTACAGAATCAAATCATTCAGTTTGAGTAATTTGGCGTGAATAAACAGTGGATTAGTGTGAGCATGAAATTTGACATTATAAATAATTCTTATTGCTCTTTTTTGAAGTTTGATCAATGGTTCTATTGCGGTTTTATAGTTATTGCCCCAAACTTCTGCTCAGTATGTTAAATATGGTAAAACCAGTGAACAGTAAAGTGTGTGTAGTGCTCTGTGATCTAAAGACATACTTTGCTTTGTTTAATATTGTAATACTTTTTGATATTTTATTATATATATATTGAATATGGGCTTTCCAGTTGATCTTTTCATCAGTTATGACTCCTAAAATGTATTCTCCCTCACTTGCTTTACTTATGTTACTTACTTGTATCTGTAACTGTATTTTTTCTTCCTTATAATTTCCAAATAGCATTAGTTTAGTTTTATTCAAATTTAAAGATAATTTATTTGTGTCAAACTAGATAAAAATAGTCAGAACACTTTGTGAATTGTATATTACATACCCCATATGTGAAAGGAGTGTTTTGACAAACTGTTTTCCTAAATACATTTTACATTGATTTTTTTTTTTCCTGATATACTTTTAAAAATTAATTTGAGCCTGAGAGGGTTAAGTTTAATGCAGTTATGTGCTTAGAAGATACTTACTTGAGGGAAGATCTGAACTGGAATTTGACCTTCTGGCATCATCTGCCTGTCCATGGAGAGTTTCATTTAACCCTCTCCATGTTGCAGATTTGCCAAAAACTACTACGTTTTTTTAAGGGTTTTGGATAAACGGAACAGACTGTTTTATGCATTGACTTTAATGACATTTTGACCGTCTAATAACACTGTTCCTTCATCGTGAACTTACTCAAAAGTGGAATTTATGCAGCTCTGAGTAAATCTGTATCGTCCAGGAAAGGAAAAAAAAAAAAAATCTGTTTTCACCCTAATCCCCACCTGTTATAGATCAATATTACGATTTACCATGAACAAACTGCATACTGGTGAATTACATGAAGTTTCAAGTTTCTGATAATAATGTTTGATTCTTTGTGCCCACAGCAAACTACCAGCTCTCCCCGACCGTCAACATGCCCCAGGACGACATCGTGATGATAGAAGACGATAGGCCGCCGCTGCTCCCGCCTCATCTCTCTGACCAATCCTCTTCCAGCTCGCACGATGACATGGGCTTCATCGGAGAGAGCCCCGGAGAGTGGATCCACGACATACCGGACCAGGGGGAATGGTGAGTCCAGTCTGAACCCGTCAGCCTTCGGTCAGTGGGCACGACACACCCACTGGTCTTATCATAATGAGGAAAGTGTGTGGTTAAATTGGTCTCAATCTCAGTCAATTTTTTTTTTAGTTCCCATAAATTTCCCAACCCAGACTTGCAAAAAAAAAAATAAAATAAATAAAAAAATAAAAAATAAATAATAATAATAATAATAATAATAATAATAATAATAATAATAATAATAATAATAATAATAATAGATAGATAAATAAAATAGATCAAATTAAATAAAATAAAAATGAAATTAACATTCGCTAGAGGCAAATACTTTACAGTTTACAAGTTACAATTACAATTTATTTTTTTAACAACTGCGTGAATAAAGTTAAATAATTGTCAATATAGCCTACTTATACAATACTTCTACACAATAATAATATCATCTATAATGATATATAATAATAATCATCATCATCATAAATAGATAAATAAATAAAATTGATAAAAATTAAATTAAACAAAAATTTTATTAATGTTTGATAGAGGCAAATACTTTACAATTTACAAGTTACAATTACAACAAATTTATTTTTTAAACAACTCTGTCAATAAACTTGTCAATATAGCCTACTACACAATACTACTACTACTACTACTACTACACAGCAACAACAAACTACAAACAATAAACAACAACAACACCTATAATTATATGTTTTCCAATTCTAAAAAAAAAAAAAAATGACACGGAATGACTTGGACTTTTGTAATGTAATGTTTGTAATGTTATTTAAGAAGGATTTGTTTAACAGCGCAAAATCAGCTCACTTGTACTCCTACGTAAATCAGTTCTTTCTGGTCAGACTGTGTTAAAACAAAGCTCAGATAAAGTCGAGCTTGAGTGACAGAGCTTCAGATTGAGCAGTGCCTCCCACCAGATGCATTGTGTAACTTTTGTGGTAGAGCCTCCATCAAATGCTTTTCTTCATGGAGATGTTTTTCTAACTTTTCTATCTTCACGGAGACCAAACCAGACCAAGTTACAGGTCAGATCTGTTGAGTGGCGACCCCACTTACATCAGAATATCTGTTTTTCTGGGTATTTTTGAGCTATAAAACCACCTGTAATTGAATAAATGTAAAGTAGAGCTGTTTAATGTCATACTGTGGAACATTCCAGGCAGAGCAATGACATCTCCATAGAAACAAACAGGTGACAGACCCCCAACCGAAAAGATACAAAATGCACCTTTTAAAATGCATTAGAAAAACCTGTTAAAATGAAATAAAAATACCTTATACCTGAAATTCAAGTTGCTTTTTCAGCCTCCTTCAGTAGTCCGGTGTGTTTGGCCCAGCTCCCCTCTCTCTCTACTCCCTCTCAGTGTTAAATAATGGATGAACCTGGAGCAGAGTTAAAAGTCTCCCGAGCTCTCCCCCTCCAGCCCGGAGCACCCAAGGGACCCCCGCACCCTCCGTCTGCACAGCCACACTCTATGAAAATATATATAAAATAAAAGAGTGAAGGGGCAGCCTCATCATGCCTGTCAGAGGTCTGCAGTCTTCAGGGACGAGAGGTTAAACAGACGAGAAATGGAGGAAGAATAAAAAGGTGGAGAGAGCAAGAAGGAGAAGTGAAAAATATAGGAAATAAAACATGTAATCTGTTAGATTTTTATCATGTATTTTTCTTTTTTGGTTAAAATAGTTACAATAAATAAAAAAAGATCAACATGTATTCATAAAAACATTGACTCTAGAAATTTTGCTGAGCTATGTTTATCAAAAAAGGAAAAGAAAAGAAAAAAAAGGAAATAACCAAATTTTGGGAGAAAAATTTTTTTTTATAAAAAAATCATAAGAATTTGGGATTGCATTCTCTTAATCCTTTTTTATAGTCCTAGTCTTAGTTTTATAATCCTTTTATTTAGTAATGTTTATAGTCTTGCTTCACTACTAGAAGATTCTAGATTGAATTCCTAAGTACAAAGCAAAATGTTTGGTTACCTGAAAATGTAATTTTTACCTGAAAATTATTTTTTTATTTTTTTTACTTTTTAAAATAATGTATTTAAATTTATGATACATGCCTAATATTTAAGAATAACTTTGTACACTCAGTTTGAAATAAATAAATAAAATGAAAAAAATAAAGTATAATAATAATAATAATAATAATAATAATAATAATAAATAAAATAAATAAAATAAAATTTAAAGACAAAAACAAAATAATGAAAAAAAAAGAAGCAAAAAACATAGCATTGAAAATATTCCCTCAAAAAATGTACTAGTACAAAACAAATATTATTTTCCATTTCCATTGTCTTACATGTATTTATAGCTGTGCCATTTTGAAATGATTATTACCGTCACACACTTAACATATACGTCAGTGTTCTGCGTTCTGATTGGCTGAGCTGTGCCCGGTTTCCGCGGAAACACTACTATACTATGTTGTAATGGACATATGAGTGAACTGGCTTTATTAATTCTTTTGTACTCTTGTATTGTTATGTCTTCACCCCTGAGACGCTCCAGTCCCTCCGTCTCTTCTCTTTCATTTATTATGAATGGAGAAGGTTAGCATGGAGCGGGTTAGCCTTAGCATTAGCATGTTAGCCTTAGCATGTTAGCGTTGGCTGGTGGTCATGTGGTGTCAATGAGTCGCTGTTTGTTTCCTTCTGAGACTTATTTCCATTTTCTATCTGTCCTCTCTCTCTCTCTACATCTCCCTCATCTCTTCTCTCCTCTCTCTATCCTCCCTATCTCCTTTTCTGTTTTTCTTTCTTTTTTTCCCTCACCCTCCTCTCTATCCTCCCTTCCTCTTTGATTTCCTCTCTCTATGCTCCCTACCTCCTTTTTTTATCTGTCTTTGTCTATATATATCATCCTTTCCACTCTCACGCCCTCTCTCTATCCCCCTACCTCCTTTTCCCTCTTTTTTTCCTCTATCCTCCCTACCTCCTATTCTCTTTCTATCCTCCCTTCCTCTCTCACCCCATCTCTCTCCTCCCTACCTCCTCTTCCCTCTTTCTTTTTCAGTCTCCTCCCCACCTCCTCTTTCTCTTTCTCCTTTACCTCTCTCTTTCTGTCTCGCTTGACCCCTCCTCTCTCCACCCTTCTCTCTCTCTCTCTCTCACTCTCCACCCTTCTCTCTCTCTGTCTCTGTCTCTCCACCCCCTTTCTCTCTATTCTTCTCTCTCTCTTCACTACCCTTTCTCTTGCTCTCTCTCCTTCACCTCTCTCCCTCTTTTTCTTCACCCCCTGTTACTCTCTCTCTCTCTCTCCACCCCCTTCTTTCTCTCTGTCTCTCCTTCACCTCTCTCTCTCTCTCTCTTCACCTCTCTCTGTCTCTCTTCACTCTTTCTCTCTGTTCCTCTCTCACTCTTCACACCCCCCTTTCTCTCTCCCTGTTTCTTCACCTCTCTCTCTTTCTCTCTCTCTCTCTTCCCCCCCCCTCTCTCTCTCTCCTTCTCTCTCTCTCTGCACATGTGTGACGTTGGCGTGTGTTCTTTGCCTGAGGTGATGGTGAATAATTCATGGTTCACAAACACACAGTCTGTAAACGTGGAGGTTTAAGTGAAGCTGCCGTTTTCTGCCGTTTGGCCCGTGGATTTCTTCATATAGGGATCTATCTGCATGGGCTGATATTACCATCTTCTGCTGCCCCCAAGGCTTTTGCCCACAGAGCACAATGTAAACACACACTCACTGTGCTCGGCTCAAAGGACACTTTTTTGGATCCTCATTTAAATCTTTCATTTGTCTTAAAAACACAACATTTTTAGCTTTGTCTCGCTCTGATTGGTTAGAACAGTCACATGGTACACGAGACCACTACTGAGCATGCTCGGTGGGCTGCATGGCCAACGGATGCATCTAAAGACACTGGCTCCATCTGAAATTGGGCAAAAAAAATAAAAATCCTTGTCCTTCCTTGACCTTATTGTTGACCTCAGAGAACTACATCATGAGGTCAAATATAAGGACCAAAGGAGGAGGAAGGAGTAGTGAGGAGAAGGACCTATCGCTGCTTTAGGTAGATCTAGAACAGGGGTGGGCAAACTAAGGCCTGGGGGCCATATGCGGCCCTTTAATCTTTTTAATCCAGCCCACCAAACTTGAATAATACTAATAATTTTCAGTGTCATTTCAATAAATTGTAAATACTGTGGGACTTGAAAGACAGATATTTTGTTGCTTTATGCTTTTGATTTTGTTGCATAATGCTTTGTAATGATTTTCAGTTATGGGATATTTTAATAACATGGAATATATTTTTCTCTTATGAGGTGGATTACCAAAAAATTCCATCCATCTGCTCCTGGTCCGGCCCTTCTGTCTAATTTTAGAGCTATTTGTGAGTCAAAAAGTTGGCCCACCCCTGATCTACTGTAGAACCTTCGACTCATTCATGCATTCACTCAAACTGTCCACCATGTATGGAATGATGCTTAACGGCTTTTGCAGAATTGATGAGCCGTTAGCAGTCAGCACCATGGATTGTAAACATATATGGATATAGTTAACCTGCTAGTCGCTGCGATCCAAATGGGGAGCGTTCATGGAGACGCTTCCAGCTCCATCAACTCTGTCTCCAATTGTCTTTATACTGAAAATGGTCACCCCTCTCTCTGTAACTGCTGAAGTGAGTCTCATCATTTTGGTCTTAAAATGTTCATATTAACCCGTGGCTTGTGGCTTGTCACAGTCTGATCCCGTTAGATCTTAGAAGTTCAGCAGGGCCGGGCCTGGTTAGTATTTGGATGGGAGACCACTGGGAAAACCAGATTGTGTGCATGTCTCTGGATCAATGGTGAAAAACAGACAATAAATATATTAAAAAATCAAAACAAAACAGAAAAAGGGGCCCTGGGTGAAGTTCGCCTAGGGCCCCCAAATTGCAAACTCCACCACTGGGTAGATGAAAGGTAAATCTGTTTTTTGGATCACTTTTTTGCCCATCCAGTCACAGCTGCTGATGTGTAACACTAAATATCCACCTT